TCATTGCCCCTCTGATGTGCTCACATTTGCAGGAGGACAGACAAGGGTCTGCTGACCTTTGTGGACCACCTGCCCGTCACCCAGGTTGTGGTTGGAGACACCAACCGCACTGGCTCTGAAGCCCAGTTCGTGCTGGGGCCCCTACGGTGCTATGGAGACCGTAAGTGAGCGGCCCCACAGAACATCCCCTGCCTGCAGAGTGCCTACATGGAGGTGTCCCACATGGAGGGACCCTGCCCACCCCTCACTGCCCCTCCTGTTCCCCACAGGCAACACCTGGAACACCGTCTCCTTCAACAGGGGCGCAGCCCTGATCTTCCCCACCTTCCAAGCCAACCACAGCCTGGACATCTCCTTCTACTTCAAGACCACTGCCCAGTCTGGAGTCTTCCTGGAGAACCCAGGCTACCGAAACTACATCCGCATTGAGCTCAACAGTACGGGGGGGGCAGAGGGTGCAGGGTTGCTGGGGACAGAAGGGCTGGGGCCTCTTCTCAGCACCGTGTCCTTGCAGCCACCAGGGACGTGGCATTTATATTTGACATCGGGAACGGGGACGAGAACCTGACGGTGCGGTCGGTGGTACCTTGGAACGACGATGAGTGGCACCAGGTGAAGGCTGAGCTCAACGTAAAGCTGGCCCGGCTGCGGGTGGACAAGCTGCCCTGGGTGGTGCGGCCATTCCCCCCACAGAGCTTCGTCCGCCTGGAATTTGACCGGCCCCTCTATGTTGGTGAGAGCCCCTGGCCACGTCCCTGCACCCCCGGGTCCTCATGTGCCACAGGGCACTCAGTCTGGGCCCCGCTGCAGGCGCAGCAGAGCACAAGATGCGCCCGTTCCTGGGGTGCCTGCGGGGGCTGCGGATGAACGGGGTCACGCTCAACCTGGAGGGCAAAGCCAACGAGACGGAGGGCGTGCGGGTCAACTGCACCGGCTACTGCCAGGACCCGCCGGTGCCGTGCCAGAACAGCGGGCTCTGCGTGGAGCGCTACAGCCACTACACCTGCAACTGCAGCGTCTCCGCCTTCACCGGGCCCTTCTGCAACCACGGTGAGTGCAGCGCTCCGCGGGCTGGGAGGGCCGAGGAGCCGGCGCTCCCCTCACCCCGCGGGCTCTCCCGCAGACATCGGTGGGTACTTCGAGGAGGGCACCTGGGTGCGGTACAACATCCTGCCCATGTCGCTGTACGCCGCCCGGGAGTTTGCCAGCATTGTGAGCAGCCCCTGGCAGCCCCTGCCCGGCTACAACCTCACCAGCGAGGAGGTCAGCTTCAGCTTCAGCACCACCTCAGCTCCTGCCGTGCTGCTCTACGTCAGCACCTTCGTCAAGGACTACATGGCTGTGCTCATCAAGGATGATGGTGAGGGCAAGGCCCCCTGCCCTGTGGGTGCCACTTTCCAAGCCTAGAGATGGGCTGGATGTGCCCACTGAGAGTCCAGCCCTGCTGACAGCCCTGTGCTGCCCACAGGGAGCCTGCAGCTGCGCTACCAGCTGGGCACCAGCCCCTACGTCTTCACTCTCACCAACAAACCAGTGACAGACGGGCGGCCCCACCGTGTCAACATCACCCGCCTGCACCGCACGCTCTACACCCAGGTTGGGCTGGGGCACCCTCCCAGTGGGGTCTGGAGGCTTCAGGTCAGGCTGGGAGGGGGCATGGGCAGGGTGGCTCTGTGGGCACTGATGCTGTGCACCTTCCTCCCAGGTGGACTATCTCCCCGTCATGGAGCAGCAGTTTTCCCTGTTTGTGGACAGCAAGCTGGACTCGCCCAAAAACCTGTACCTGGGTCGTGTGATGGGTGAGCTGGGTCCTGCCCATGCTGGGGTCTCTGGGGTCTCCTCTGCACAGCATGGCCCTTGCCCTCTGAGAAGGATGAATAATCTCCTTCTGTGGCCCCACAGAGACTGGCGTGATTGACCCCGAGATCCAGCGCTACAACACACCTGGCTTCTCAGGCTGCCTCTCAGGGGTGAAATTCAACACCCTCGTGCCCCTCAAAGCCATCTTCCACCCCACCAGTCCCCTGCGGCCCTACAGCATCCGGGGAGAACTGGTGGAGTCGAGCTGTGCCTCAATGCTCCCCCTCAGCACCCTCCTTATCCCTCCTGAGATGGACCCCTGGTACATGGCCACAGGTGGGTGCTGTGGTGGGACCCTGGTGGGGATGGAGCCCTGGTCAAGCACCAGCTGCAGAAGGGAAGCTCCAGCATGAGACCTTGCTGCAGCCTGGTCTCAGCTGCCTCCTCTGTCTCTGCAGAGTTCCCCCACGTGCACGACGATGGCTGGATTGGGATCATCATCGGGTGTAAGTGAAGCCTCTGGCTGGCATTCCCCACTGGCACAGCCCTGTGGTCCCTGCCCAATCCCTCACTGCCGTCTCTTCCCCGCAGTCGTGATCTTCCTGCTCCTGCTGCTGTCAGGGCTGCTGGTGCTGCTCTACTTCTACCACCACCGCTACAAGGGCTCTTACCACACCAACGAGCCCAAGGCCATCCAGGATTACGGCGGTGCCGCCAAACCGCCGGCGGCCCGCAAGGAACAGAACCTGCCCCAGATCCTGGAGGAGCCGAGAGGGGACTAATGGGGCCGGGGGTGGGACGGGCTCACAGCCCCGGGAGCCGCCCGGGAATGAGCGAGCGCCGCGGGACCAAAAGGCCGAGCACACCTGAACTGCCAACACCCGCCTTCAGACTGACCGAATGGCACCGGACCGAGCGCCACCTCCTCCCCATGGCCGCCACCACCCGGTCCCGGAGCGCGGCCGCGATCCGCCGAGCCCCAGCCTTGCTCGCCCCAGATACACCGACAGCCCCCACACCGGAGGCCTCCAGCTGCCAAACCCTGCCTGGCCTGTGTAGGGGAGCCCCAGACCCGGTGCCCACCCTCCCTCTGGCCGGGGGCACCCCTCTGCTGCTGCCACCCGTGTAGCTGACCCGCTGCTTCGCTCGCTTCGCCAGCGCCACACAGAGCCACGAGCGCCGGCCGCGCCCGGCCGCGCTGCCCAGCAATACTCCAACACCGGCGCCGCGCATGCCGCCACCGCACCTTGCTGAGATGCTGCTTTCATAAATCAGGTACAGATCCTTTCTACCATTTTTTGTTGCTGGATATTCTACTACACTCTGGTTTTTTTATTCTCTCGGTTTGTATAAAAAACCAAGCGGAAGCTCCCGGGGGAGGGAGGCCCCCGCGTGTCGTGGTACGTGGTCTGTAGTTTGCTACTTCTCTGTACGAAGTGCCAGTCCTGCCGATTACCTCCAGCCCAGGGAAAGCTCCTGTTCACTTGCTGTGTTTGTGGTAAGACAATGTTACAGATATGCATTTATCTACCCAAAGGCCTGGCTCCACTGGGCACTTTATTTTTAAAAAGTCTGTTCTTTTGAATGAGATGTGAAGATAATCAAATAAAGGCAGAATGATGGCATTTGACACTCCCCAGCCTTCACCTTGGCAGCCTGGGCAGATCCTCTCCTCCCACCCTGGCTCAGCCTGCACCAAGGGAGGCACCACACTGGCAGCAGCAATTCCTGGTCCCAGAGTGAGAGGGAGGGTGTAGGGAGCCGGGGCTAGAGGCAGCTCAGCTGCTGCTGCACACACACTTCATGTCCTGCTCTCCCCACCACCACCTCTGCCCCCTTCCCACCCTGAGCCAGTGTGATTCAGGCAACTGGCAGCACCGGGTCACTCTGTCCCCCTGGACCCTGGGAGCCACATTGGGGACAGCTGGGCAGAGCCCAGCAGGCTGGGGACAGTGTGGGGACAGGCTGGTGCCCAGGGTAACAGAGGCCAGGAGCAGGGGAGGGTCTTTGCTACCACTTTATTATGACAAAGGCTACAAGCCATGTTATTTAAAGTGCATTATTATTACCATTATTCACCGTCAACAAACCACAGACACAAGCCTGGCATAGTGCAGATATGGCCAAAGTGGCAGAAGACGCTTAGGCAAGAGCAGGGCTGGCAGGAGCTGGCTGGATGGAGGTGGCAGGGAGCAAGGCTCAGGCAGGTGCTGGGATACAAGCACTGCTCCAGACACACCTAAACACCTCCATGCTCCAGGGGGCCCATCATGGACAACAGGAAGGATAGACAGACTGGCCTGCCATGGCAGGGGACTGGGAAAGTATGGTGAGGGCTGGGCCAGGGAGGGCTTGGCTCCCAGGCAAACCCAGCACATCTGTGTGTTCCTGGAATAAACAGCTGGAAGTGGGCTGGGGCCCTGGAGCCAGGTCAGGGCTCAGTCAGGCCCCCCGTGTCCTCCTGGGAACCCAGCCCTGGACAGCGGGAGCACAGCCCAGCACCCAGCACCAGGCCAGGCAGGAGGCTGGTGGTGTATGAGGTTCTCAGGGGACAGCCCCAACCTTCAGGTCAGCCCAGCCCCATCCAGCCTGCCCTGTCTCAGCCCTGGAGCAACATCCCAGCAAAGGTGCTGACAGGTGCAGGACACCTGGGATGCCTGCAGTCCCTCCACCCCAAAATACAGGGCCCAGCCACCAGTTGGGGGTTAGTTTAAAGTGCTTTTTTCTTTCCTTTTTGCATGGAGTGCAAGGCCAAACCTCACCCTGCCAGAGAATATTTCCCCTTTATCCCCAGGGCCAGGGGGTCACAAAGCCCAAGGAAGGTTTCTGAGAATCCCCCCCTGGGTCACAACAGGCAAGGATTGTAACATCATCCTCTACCCAGCTCAGTGGCACCCCTACTCAAAGCATCATATTGCATAGTGCTGCTCTCCCATCCCCAGGCATCCCTTGGTGCCACTCCAGCCACAGCTGGGCAGTCCCCATTTCCCAGCCAGCTGGGGCAGAGGGGATCCCACCCTGGGACAGCCGTGGCCCAGGGGCTGCTTACACTCCTGCCCCGAGTCTCTCTGGTGTCTGGATGGAAAGTAGCACTTGTGACACACACAGCAGCAGGAACAGCAGCAGTCATGTCAGCGTGAAGCAAACATGGCATTGCTTACAAGGTGCAGCAGCAAGGTGTGCCAGAACCACCCCGGAGCTTAGATGATGTCCGTCTCCCTCTCTATGCCAACATACTTCAGGGCATCTGCCTGGCTGTACCTACAGGACACAAGGCATGGCTGCAGCAATGCTGCCCCCAGAAACCTGCACAGAGGTTGGGATCAACCCTGCAGGCCAAGTTTGGTGCTGGCCAAGGTACCTGTAGTCAAAGAAGAGCTCCTCTCCTGCCTGGATGGCTCTCTTGGCGAAGATGCCAATGCGGTGGTCTCCGTTCACCATCACAACTGCAACCAGAGATGCAACATCAGAGATGCAACATCAGAGATGTGCAGCCCCAGCCTGGGCTGGAGCTCTCACACACCATGTCCTGCCTGGCCTGGCTGGGCAGGGGCACCTCACCTTTCGCATAGCAGTTGGGGTTCACTGAGTGGTTGGCAAAGCGGATTTTATTTCCTTTGCGAGTAGCGTCAACAACAAAATCTATAAAAAGAAAAAAGAGAAAGAAACCATGGTGTAAGGCCAGGCCTGTCACCCAGGCAAGAGGTGGGCTGAGCCTGCCCACCTGGCCTCTCCACCCTTGGGAACCTCAGGAAGTTACCATTGTTGAGGTTGAAGAGGAAGCTGGACATGTACTTGTCGTAGACCTTTCCTCGCCTGTCAGCCTCATCCTGTGAAATGAGCTGTAGAGGGAGATCACCTTGAGAGACTCAGCAGCTGAGGGCTGAGCCAGGTTCCAGGGCTGCCTCCTGGAAATACCCTCCTGCTCTCCCTCCCACCAGGGCTCCCAGGGATGGGGCAGGGCCAGAGCAGAGCTCTCAGGCAGCAGCACATACAGCACACTCCTCCACAGTGGAGGCCAGGGGTACTGAGACAGACAGCACAGGGCTCCATCTCCAGACCTGCTCAGAGCCCATGGGCACAGCTGAGCCAGGGAAGGCAGCTGACCCCACAGCCAGAGGAAGCTCTCCCACCACACACAGCCCCCGTGTGCCTGGCCAGCAGCCCCAGCACAGCACTGACCTCCCCGCAGTACTCGGAGATGAACTCGTTCTTCTGCACTGCCTCCTTGATGAATGTCCCCCAGCCAGCCACGTCTGATGGGGCCAGCAACAAATGCTGGAACCAAAATGAAAGGAAATGAGGAGAGCTGGCAGGTACAGCACCTCACAGCACACAGGTCATGGGGGCAGCAGGGAGCCAGTGTCCATCTAGCATCCCCTTGTTATGGTGACACAGCTCCCTACAGACTTACACCATTACATGGAGCTGCACAGGACCTGACACACACTGATTTGCAACTTTCTCTGAATTTCCCTTTTTTGTAAATGCTGAATTCCTTGCTCTGACCAGCAGAATTCAAGACTAAATCTTTCTCTTTAGAGCCACTTTATACACTCTCTTGCTCTCACCATTCCTCATGTAACTCCCATCTCCTGATTTTGACATCCACCATCCCTCCTGATTTTCACATCTACAATCCCTACTCCAGAGTAAGTGCAGCAGAGGCCCAGGGCAGAGCAGCTTCTTTTCCAGACTCTGGCATCTCCAGGGAAGCTGCTCCCCCTCCACACACAGGAGCAGCAGCTGTGTGTCAGCTCTGCCCTGAGGCAGCCCACTGCTGTCAATACCTTTTTGAGGCCTCGCTGGATGCTGCAGTTCTTGCAGGAGACCACCTTGCAGTCCCAGTGCTCTGAAGCCCCACAGGTGAGGCAGAGGTCAGGGTCACACTCCCTCACAGCCAGGTAGCAGGGGCACTGCTTGGTGTTGCACTGGGTCTTGCAGCGGCAGCCTGGGAAGCGGTTCTGACCTGCAGCAACACACGCAGCGAGTTTGCACTGTGAGCTTTGGCACAGAGCACAGGGGCCATGCAGGCTCTCTGCCCCAGCTGCTCCTCCCCAGGCAGGTCTTGAGCAGGGACAGAAGGAAGTCTGGCTGTTTTCTGCACTGCAGAGCTGGGAATGGAAGCCCAGATAGGATAAACAAACACGGCAGAGCAGTGACCCAACGCCCAGCCTAACTGCTGGAGGCACATCCTGCTCACAGGGGACCAGCAGAGCACCCACAGGATACAGACACAGGGATGAGCACTAAGAGGAGGGTCTCAGCTGCCAACAGCTGCATAGTGCAGATATGAACAGCACAGAACCACCTCCTTTTGGACCTTAGCTAACAGAACTGCTGTGGATGGACAGAGCAGCAAGTGCAGGAATAAAGCAGGCACCCAGCAAGCCCCAGCCCTGCACCCTCCCTGTGCTCAGTGCCAGGAGAGCTGGCTGCTTTCCTGCCCAATAGTCCTTGACCTCTTCTTACAGTCAGGGTTGCACTGGCAGAACTTCTCACAGAAATTCTGAGTCATGATGCAAGGGCAGGAGCTGTCACAGGGATGCTCAGGGTGGTCACAGGGCTGGTAGTTGTACACCTGGGTTGGTGAATTATCTAGAACAAGAAGAGAAATGCCAAGATTGGGAGCTGAATGTTGCGGGAACCTGTTCAAAGCAGCAAGTGCAGGGCACTGGAGCCAAGAAGGTGCAAGCTGCCCATCTGCCTGCAGGGCAGGGAGCCTGGCAGCACCCAGCTCCCACAGACACACACATGGCTGTGCTCAGTGACCACAGCAGGGCTGCACACTGCCCTCAGGCTGCAGCAAATCCTGCTGCACACTCAGCCTCAGTGGGCACTGGGATGGCCATGATGCCCCTGGCACCCAGGCGTAGTCACTCCCTCCATGCTGCTGGACCTGCTGGGGTGGTGAGCAGGACACGGCCACCCCACTGGAGAACTCAACCCTTGCAAACCTCCCATGACACAGCCACAGCCAACTCTACCTTTCTTCAGCTGGATCTTCCTGCAGTGTGCAGCCCACAGCCTGCAAAAGGAGCACAGAAGGTTGAGAGGATGTGTAAGCCCTCAGGGAGAGGCAGCCAGAGCTGCTCAGCACCAGCAGCCAGCACAGCAGAGATGAGCTTGGCAGATTCATGCATTAATGATCAGCAGCCACCATAAAGTAGAGAGAGATGGGAGTGATGCAGCTGCAGGAGCTCTTTAAGCCAAACACCAGAGCCAGAATAATATTGGACACACTGAGATCAACACACAAAGTGGGTTACAAGTCAGGGAGCTGAGGCAGAGGCTGCTGTTAGGGAAGTGGCACCAGGACCAGCAGCCTGTGCTGCCCTATCCTCAGGCTGAGCCAGGGGCTGCAGGGCCCCTGAGCCCCCAGGCAGAGCAGCAGCCCTGGAGCTGGGCCAGGCCAGCACCCAGCAGCAGCAGCCCCATGTGACAGCAGGACGTGCTCACAGATGGGAGCCAGATGGGGATTACCGGGAATGCGTTGGCACAAAAAGCAGAGGATCTGGTTGCATTTTAAGAACAAAACAAGCTTGTCCAACACTTGCCTGTGCTTCCTTTTCTTCTTCTGGGATGGATTCATTAACTCGTTTGTCGGCAGTTTTGTTATAAGCGATTCCTTCACTGCAAACTGAAAGACCTACCAAAGAACAGAAGCAAAAAGTTCAGTGCACTCAAGTTGTTTTATCAAAAGCATAAGGAGAGTGTGAGTAAGCACAGCAAGGCTCCCAGGCCTGGGCCCAGAGAGCAGCAGCTGTGCCCCATTTTCCTGCCTATGGCACACTGCCTCCTCCTGCCTGGAAAACGAGTGCCTGCACACCTGGGAGGGAACCCACAAAGCCAGCACACAGGGCTCATTCTGCCAACAGCAGCACTGCTGCCCAGTAACACCCTGAGCTCCAAAAGCATTGATGTGGCACCTTCCTGTGGGGAGCTTTGTGGCAGAGAAATAAAACCAACAGGCAGTGGCTCTGGCCCCTCTCTTGCCTGCTCTGGGCACCCACCTGCTTGCAGGTCTTTGTCCCCAGCAGCCTGGCAATCGAGCAGAAGTTGTTGAAGTAGGTGCCATGGAAGACACGGAAGAGTGACTCCTCAGCTCCTGTCCACTCCACGGGCTCCTGCGGCGTCTCCACCGCAAACAGCTGCGAGGAGGCCGGGCTCAGCTTCTGCTTTGTGGGCGTTTGGCAGCGGGAGTTGGCCTCTGGCAGGAAAGGCACATGGTAAGCCAAACACACCCTGGCCATCGTGGTTTGGGGGGCAGTGGTCACCCCCTAGTGCCCTGCAACCCTGCACTGCACTCCCAGCCTCACACTCCTGCCTAAGGCCAGGCACAGTGCTCAGGAGCCACGGGCTTGCTCTGGACTTTGCAGGTCCCAGCAAAGCTCTCGCTTTGCCTGGCAACATTCCTCCTTCCTGGGAAAGGGCAGTGAATCCCACAGCAGCAAGGGCAGGGCTGGTGCCCCTCATGTTTGCTGGGAACACTGACTGCTAATCCAAATTCTCCAGCTGTGCAGGAAGCAGAGGGGAGCCTGGGAGAACTCCAGCTGGGAGGAGCTGCTTGCCCTCGCAGAGAGGAGAGGGGTGTCTCAGGACCATACCCGAGGAGCTGGAGGCCCACTCGTTGCCCGTGTCGCGGTCGCTGTCGCCCTCCCTGGTCTCGGTGACAGCCGGGGCGGTGCTGGAGCAGGACGCGCCCACCGCGTGGTGCCGCCGCCGGCGACGCCCGGAGCACTTGGAACGGGGGTTGTGCAGGGCAGCGAACTCCTTGGCTCCTTCCTGCAAGCAGAGCAGAGGACAAGACAGGTGGCAGATGACCAGGGAATGCAGGAAGGCTGTTCCACAGGCCCTGGGACAAGCCCTGTCCTGCCACCACCAAGAGCAGGTAGAAGAGGCTGGCCATGTGTGGTCCCTTCACCAAGTGCCAAACCAGCTGCTTGTGTTGCATGTTCCCACTCTGTTCCCTTTGGCATTGCTCCCTGGCCCTGAACCCCCAGCCCACTCCTCTGGATCCTCCTGACTTCTCGCTCTGCTCCTTTTAGCATGGGCTTAATTTCTCTGACACTGCACTGAGTCCAGAGAAATCACCTGTCATACAATTTCCCATCTGCCAGCTCTGCAATTAATCTTTATTGGAGATCTGCTATAATATGCATCTGGTAAGGTCTGCATTTGCAGTCATGCTCTTCTGAGTCCAACTAGGACCAGAACTAATTCTGGAAAAATCATCCAAGTTGTGCAAAAGATCCACAGAGCTCTGCAGAGCACAGCTGGCCAGGGCACTTCTCTCATGGTTTCTAAGGTGACAGAGAAACATACCAGCCACAGGAAACAGTCTGCGCCGCAAGGGTCTGGCTCAATCTTGGTCTCTCTATTCTTTCGTTTGTACACATTAGGAGTAGCATGAAAAGCTGAAAAAGTAACAGTTATCTTTACTATTAGCATTCTCCAAGAGTCTCCCCCCACTCTGCAAGGGACAGGAAGCAGGAGCCTGTGTGGCTGAGGTGGGGTCTGAGGTGACCAGACCCACAGGGTAACCCTGCTCCAACCCACAGTGGGGACCAGGCAGCTTGGGAAGGAGAGGCCAAAGGAGAAGGATCAGCTTTCACACTGAAACAAAAAGACCACGTCATATTAATATTATATCTTTTAATAAATAATTCACTGGAGAAAGTCCTGTGACTTCCCAAAGAAGCCCTTAAGACCTGGAGAACAGCAGGTCCAGCAGCTAATCAGCATCCAAAAGGCTTTGGCAGGACCAACCGCAGGAACATGACTAAGACGAAGCTGTAAGTTCCAGGGAGGCAACAAAACACAGGGGGCACGTCCAGACTTTGGCAGTGAAACATTTCATGCCTTTCACTGAGGAGCTTCTGCAAAGCAAGAGCAAAGTCTGGTGGTGGCAGGGCTAGTGCACAAACTGCCAGGAGCTCGGAGGCGGCGTGCTGAGCGCGGAGAGCGGACGGCCACGCGCGTCGGTCTGCCGTCCGTGGGAGCCCAGAGCGGAGCCGTCCGTGCCAAAGGCTTCTGTCAGCTCCCAAGGCCCCACTGCACACTCATGAGGCACCACCCTCCAGAGACTCCAGCATTGACTAAGCAAGGCGTGCAGAGGAAAACTGAGGAGAAAGGGCTCTAGGGAAGCGTCCGGCTGAGGCGGCACTTACGATGCAGAAAGCAGTCGTACTTGAAGCAGCGGCGGCAGAAGAGGGTGTGGAAGGAGTGCAGGGACTGCTCCCGCTGCACCGACTTGGCGCACGGCCCGTCGATGTTGGGGGTGCACTGTGGGGGCAGCACGTTGGGGTCGGACACCTCGGTGAGCTCCCGGTACCTGGGGACAAACAAAATGTAGGAGTGACAGGGGTAGGACGGTCAGGATGGACGGAGAGGAGAGATCTCTGCAGCCAGGGTGTGGAATTTGGGGTTTATTGCAAAGGGCCAAGTGCAGGGCCCTGCTGGGAGCTGCCAGGCACAGCTCAGAGCAGGCTGAGAGAAGAGGGGGGGAGAGAGGGTGAGAGGGTGAGAGAGTAAAAGGATAAGAGAGTAAAAGCATAAGAGAGCGAGGTTCCTGTTACAATACAATAAATCTTCTGTGTTGACTATTGTAATTCTTACTAACCAATCTAGTCCAATATACAAATCCTATAGCATTTACATACAGCCTATAAGAATCATCACATTACCATACTGTGTTACATTTTAAACCCTAAAAACTCCTCTTTGGCCCCTTCTGCCAAGCTGTAGGGTCTGCTCTGACCCTTGGGCCTGTCTGCAAGCAGAGGGTGTTGTTTCACCTTCAGCTGGCCACACCACTGTTTTCCAGTTGTTCAATAACTGAGGGATCTCAAAGCTTGCTTTCACTTCAATCTCGCTTATAGTTCCTATATTCTAAAAATCTTTTGCCAGGCAATCATATTTACAAGGCTTTACTGTTTCATCTTCCTCAACACACAAACACCCAGGGATGTGCTTTCCCCATTTGGGACAGCTTTACAGCACCATCAGGCCCTGGCCCTGTCAGAATTCAGGACATCCCTCTGGCTCTCCTGGATTGCCCAAACCCCTGCCAGGGGGCTCAGAGACCTTGGTACAGAGCCCAAGACACCTGTGACTTTGATTATGACCCATGGAAAAAATTACCAACCTTATATGAGGATCTGCAAGCCATGAAAGTCTAAGTAGAATAATAATTAGTTTGTTACGGGGTGAAAAATAGATTTGTTGGGGTTTTTAGAATGGGGATTCAGGAGGCAAGATGGAGGAATCTGGGTGTGTTCAGCCTTTCTCCTTCTTGGCCTCTATCTTCTGCTGTGATGTTGGCACTTTTGGATTGGTTTAGAGTAGCAGCTCACTGTCTAACATAGGTGATAGGTATTGGGAAGTTATGGTAAATAATGTACCTGTACTTTTTAATATAAAAAGATAACACCAGTGTGCCTTTGTCTGACCTGCTGAACGGACCTGGGCAATTTAAGAGAAAGAATTTTATAGATAAGAAACAATAAACAACCTTGAGAACAAGAATAGAAGAGTTCTGACTCCTTCTTTGACTGCCAGGCTGGGAAAAGAGACTTTCTAACACATCTGGGGGTCACTCTGACCAGCAGAAGGTCCTGAGAAGGTACCTCAAGTTTTGTAACACTCAAAACACACTCTGCTCACAGAGCCTGCAGGCACTGAGCTTTGTGGCACAGCCAGCCCACAGTGCTGGGTCTCTGAAATAAAGATTGCAACTCTTGCTAAGAAAAGGAACAGACAACAGTGCAGGGATTTTCTACCTTTCCTTCATATCCTCTGGGAAGCCATACTCAGGAAACATGGAAGAAATTGCAGTGAATATCATGTCATTGGGGAACCTCTTCTTGGAACACTTCTTGTTACCTGCAAAGAAGAGGAGACAATTCTTCAGACAAGCTGATGTGGATGGGTCTTTCCTCCCTGCACAGAGCAATTGCAGAGATGCTCGGGATTGTGTTTTAAGACAGAAATGTAATCCCATGCACAATTTGTGATCTGCACCAGGCTGAGGTATTCCCAAAGCAGTGCTAGGCCACTTGCAGTGCAGCACAATGTACTGCTGGGAGCACCAACTTCTCTAAAGTGCTATTACTATTTATTTCTGCCAAGGCAGAACTTGCAGACAATGCTTTTCTACATCCACAGAAGTGTTGATGTTTGTGCTGCCCATATCACTACAGATCAAGGACAAAGACAAAATTACCCATCAGCATTCAAAAGGTCATTGAGGACACATGAAAATCCCACAAACCAGAGCTTCCTCCAGGCAACAAGAGCTCCAGGTGGCACAGAAGAGGGAAGAGGAACACTAATACATGGAAAGCAGGTCTGGAAGGGATTTGAAAACGTCCATCTCCCTGCCTCCCACAGAAAGAGATCCACCCACACCTCCCTGACAGGTGTTTGCCAGACCAGCACTTGAAAACATCCCACAGCCTCTCAGAAAACACCCAGCTCTGCTAATCTCACAGGAAGTGGGTTTCCAGATGACTCATTAAATAACTTCTCACCACACTTTTGGATGGTGATTTCTTCCCCTGTCCACAGCAGACAGTGAGAGCAAATCATTTCCCTTCTGCTACAGACCTTGTCAAGCTGGAACTGCTCTTGGCACATTAAAAACCCAGGGATGGCAGGAGAGCAGTGCCCAGTGCTCAGGAGGGGCAGGACAGAAATGTGACCAACACAATCTTCACTTCTCTGGGGGCAAACCCACCTTCCACTGCAATTCTCTTTCTTTTCCTTGTCACTGGCAGCTCCTCTTTTCCATCCTCCTGCTTCACCTCAGAATCATTGTGTCCTTCCTCTTCCTCGTCCGAGTACTGATTCAGAGCATTCACCAGCTCCAGGAACACAGCATCACTGATGAGGACTGACCCTGAGATCATTTCTGAAACACACAGAAGTGGCAGTGCCACCATCTTTCTCATTTCTTGCCATAGCAAACCACAAGCCTACGTGCTCTGCTACCCACCAGAGCCCTTCTCTCAGTTTTTTTGGGGTAGGTGGGATTTTAGCACTGAAGTCAGTAGTGGTGTATCATTTTCAGCAATCTGGGGACAGGCCACACCAGTTTTCCCTGTCTTCCTCCCCACTGGGCAATTTTATGATGTGGCAGGCAGTGATTTTCATTGATTAAACTCTTGGTTGAGGCAACAAGCAGAACAGGGTTGCTGAGCTACTCCCCCTCTAGCACATTTTCAGCATCCCAGAGGACGCCTGTGAATCCCTGCACACAGGGGAACTGGCTCCAGAGCACTCCAGGCATTAAAATGGAATGAGGTACCCAAAGGCAGGAATGTGCCCTTGCAAAGGAGAACAGCAGGCACCATCCTGTTATCCTGCTCTGAGAGCTCCCACAGAAAAGCTGGCTGCTGCTGCCACCTTTTGACTCCTGAACTACTTGGATATTTGCAAGAGACTGAATCACAGAACCACAGGAAGGTTTGAATTGGAAGGGATTTTAAAGCTCATCTTGTTCCACCCTTGCCATGGACAAGCCAGGTTGCTCCAAGCCCCATCCAGCCTGGCCTGGAGTGGCCAGAGCTGGGTGCTCCCAGGTTACCTTCCTCTCCATGAACTTTGCCATCATAGTTATTAATAAGTTCTTCAATGAAAGTTTCATCTTCTTCCTTCACCTCGTCGCCCATGTAAGGGATATTGCACAGAACTGTTTCATCCTCCACCTGAAGAGAGATCAGACACAGCTCAGAAAAGCAGAGTTTGCTGACCCCAATGGGGCTGTGCTCTGGTCCCTCAGACCTGCCAACAACACACAGCAAAGCTTCAGATGTCCCATCACTGACACATCAGTGCTATCCCACTGTGACCCAGACACAAACAAAAAGATCTGACTAAGAAATAAAACTCTTCATATAAAGGGAAATAAAAATATTAGGAAAAAACACAAACAAACAAACCCCCCCCAAAAAACATATTTACTCCTTGAATTCTGTGAAATAATGGTGACTCTGTCAAGAAGCCACATGTAAAGGAGACTACCTGGTGAGGTAGTGGGGACACAAGGCTGGCTGGGATTGTACAAAACAAGCAACTAAAGCAACACTTTCCATCATCTCTCAAGCAGATGTTGCCTGAAACAAGTGGGATGAAGAGCCACTTCCCAACTGTGTGACAATCAGATGCTGACCTCACTGAGACCCCACACTTCCCACATACCATGAAATTCTGCTGAAGAGGGGACCAGGAGTACATAATGGGCACCAGTGCCACTGTGTTCAGGGTCCTCATGTACAGTGTCTGGCTTGGAAATCCTGGGAAAATGCTCTCAACAGTGCACTGGAATACAAGTACAGAGAAGGTCAGTGAGGAACCACTCTGGGAGGCTGCCACAGCCCGAGGAAAACTGAATTCAGGACAAACACAGAAGCCCCACATGCACTCTGTGCACTCCATCACAGGAAAAAGCCTTGGGGGTACTTTTTATCCATTTCTGCATTGCAGAAGTGTGAGACATGGACAACACAGACAAAAACTCATCCATATCCCCACAGCTGCCTGCAGAGTCCTGGCTGCAGTCCCCACTTGCTGATGGTGCCCCTTTTCCTCTGCACACCTGTTTCAGGAAAGGGTGCCCACTGACTGGCTTCATCAGCTGCACTGGCTGCACCCGAAGCTTCTTCCAGTCCTCATTAAGGATCTGAGTCTTTTCATGAACCTTCGCAAAGTTGGCCACAAAGAGAGCCTGAAAGGAGAGAGAGGAGCTCTCAAAATTTAAGAAAACCCATTGAGAACTCCAACAGCACTGAAAGGGTTCAGCAAGGAGATCCTGCAAAAACCAAGTGGAAATGAGCTTTCCTGCTGCAGTTACATCAATGCTTGTTCAATGGCCTCGTGTGTGTGATAGTTACTGCCCACACAACTCAAGACAGCACGAGGAGAAGTGGCATCTCCTCCCATTGATCCAAGTCAAACACAGCTTATGAATTCACCTTGCTGACACCCTCTGGTATCACTCAAGACACTCTGAGCTGAAATGAATTCTTTTTGGGGCATCCCAGCCCAGTCCTTGCTGTGGCTGTACCTTTGCTCCCATGTTTGCCTGGAACCTCTTGAGCTGCCGCAGACGCATGTACTCAGACTTGACTTTCCTCTTCCAGTACATGATACACTTGGATGTCGGAGGAGTGGTAATTTCCATTTTTCTGTAACAGCACAGAAAGAATAAACATTAAATAATGGCGAGCTCAACCCCGAAACAAGCGATACTAGAAAAACGTCCCTGTGGATGGGAAAAACACTCTATACATAACAGACTTAAACCAAGCAAATAACGCCGTCGCTGCGCAGCGCTCCTGGCTGCGGAACACCCCCAGCCGAAGCGCACGGACAGGCCCGGGACAGCAGCGAGGGGCGGCGCTGATCAGGACCGCCCGTGCTGTCCCCCGAGCCCCCCGGGGGTTCCCGTCCTCCCCCGGGACACCGCCGGGGAGCCGCGGCTCCGCTCCAGCCGCCCTCTGTGCCGCTCCGGCCGGGCCCGAGCGCGTCCCAGCTCCGCCAACAAGAACCGGAGCGAGCCGAGGCCGGGCCGGGGGAGCGGGCCCGAGCCCCGCCAGTCCCTGCCCCACCGGGCCCGGCTGGTACCGCGGGGACCCGCGACCCCCCGGGAACCCCCGGGAACCCCCGGCCCCGCCCGCACTCACTGCTCGGCCATGGCGACAGGGGGAGGCCGCGCGCCCCCGACACACTGCGCGCGCGCCGGCCCGCCCCGGCCTCCGCCCCCGGCCCGCCCCAGTCTCGGGCCAGCCTCAGGCACCGGACCCAGCCCCGGATGCGGCCCCGGGTCCGCCTCAGGCACCAGACCCCGCCTCGGCCCACCCCGGGTTCCGTCCCTCACACCGCCAGCCCCGGCCCCGCCCCGCCTCTCACACGCCCCCGGGCCCGCCCCCTCACCCACAGGCCACGCCCCTCACCCACAGGCTCCGCCCACTCACCACAGCCCCCGCCCCTCACACCCCCAGGCCCCGCCCCGCGCTGCCGGTGCCCGTGCCGGTGCCGGTGCCGGTGGGTCGGGGTGCATGCCCTGCCCCGGCAGAGCGGACCCGTTCCAGCCTGGAGGACACCCCTGTCGGCTGCGGGGAACGGGTTAAGCAGCGGCTCGGTGCCGTGCCCGCCCATTCCCGGTGTGCCTGGGCCTTCCCGGCCCCTATTGCGGGACCGGCCCGGTCCCGCGGGAAGCGTTGGTGGGACAGCGCCGTTCCCGCCCGGTTCCACCGGGACAGCCGTGCCCGGCATGGCCTCGCTTCCCGACCAGCCGTGCCGGTGTCCCGGGTCCCTGTGGCCCCGCCCCTGGCTGTGGCGGCGCCGGGCAGGAAGCGGCTGCTGGCGGCCGCTTTCCTGCCCCGGGGGCCCCGGCGCTGGGGAGCGCACGGAGCTGCCTCTGCCCCGGCGGGGGCCCCGTGCGTGGTGCGGAGTGCCGGGTGCCCGGGGCTCCGGCAGGGTGACCGCGGGGTTCGAGCAGGACCGGCCCGCCCGTATCTGGGAGCTCCGCCGAGCCCAGTGCGGCGGGGGCCCGGCGTCCCCCGACCCTGCCAGGCATTGGCTCGGGAGCGGGCGGACAGCCGGGCTCCGGGATGGGTGACAAGGGCAGCCCCAGCCCGGGTACAGGGATCCCGCTGTCGGGAGGATGAGGATGCTCCCCGGGCTGGGGCTGCTCTGCTGCCCGCTCCCGTCTCTGCTCCCGCGGGTGCGGCAGAGGCAGCTGGGGGTGCTGCACGGAGCTGGGGGTGCTGCACGGAGGCCCCAATGCCACCACATGCACACTCGGAGCATCACAGGGATGTGTCCCCAGCCCTGCAGGCTGGCCCCATGCTGTCCCCTCCGCAGCACCCACAGCGAGCCCTCCAGTGGCACCCAGCTGCTCTCCTGCCCTGGCCTGGAACCATCGACACCTTCTTTCTTTTCTGAATTCTTCACCAGCTGCACAGAGGCCAGGCTCCCCAAGCTGGGCAGTTGGTCCCCAAGTGTGGCTGTGGCTGCTCGTGCCCCTTGCAGCTGCCCTCACACTCAGCAGGGCCCAGAAAGGGGCTCAAACCCCAAGGAGAAGCTGCCCATCTCCTGAGTGCCTCCAGGTTTTTGAGGGGCCAGCGACAGCCTCCTTCCCTCCCAGCCCTGGCAGCTAATGGGTGGGAGGACAGGACTGAGAGTGAGGGTGACAGGTCAGAGCAGGCATGGGGAGCTTGCGATTCCCTGGGCATGGAGTGGGTCCCGTGGCGAGGGAGGCTGGGAATGGGGCTGGGGGAGCACTGGGGGGAGAAGAGCCCCACACAACTGACCCCGCACGGCAGGTGGGGGCTGGCAGGGAACGCCGCGGATGCCAGGCTGGGTGGGGAGCCCTTGGCAGGCAGCCACCGTCCTGTCCCTGCCCATCCCCTCCGGACGGCGGCCGTCCCAGCCCCGGGGCCGCGCTGAGATCATTGGGTGTCACCCTGGCAGAGCTCCTGCCACCCGGCTGGAGGCTCCGCCGGCTCCACCACAAACAGGGACCGGTGGCTCCAGCCCTGCAGGCACTGGAGTGCCGGGGATGATTTCCAGATGTGCCACTCGCCCGCAGAAGGTGGCTGCTGCTGCCCGGGAAGCATCGGACAGCTCTGCCAGGACTTTGCTGGGGAGCTGCGACCCGCGGCAGGGAGGGTCCGTCCGAGCTGCCCTGCCCTGCAGGCTGATGTTAAAGGGGAGGCTTTGGGCTGCGCTCTGCCCTCGCCAGGCGTGAAAGGTCCTGTGTAGGAATGTCGCAGGCTGAAGTCACCCCCAGTGCGGGGGACACGGGCCCCTGGGCAGGAACTGCTCCAGGAAGGGGGGCTGTGGCACAGCCAGGCAGGCGCCAGGTTGGACAGAGCAGGAGGAAGGCACTGCGGCCAAGGACCGCCAGGGTCGGCCAAGTGTCTGCCCCCTCCCCACCTCCTCGGCCGGGTGCCTGGGGGTGGATTGTGCCATCACCCTTCCCTCCGTGGCCATGGGCAGGAGCTGGGGCTGCCCCTATGGGGCAGGTGCCCGGGTGAGGCAGAAACTGCGGTTTGGGTGCCGTGGGTCCCCCTGCCGCCCCATTGCCGGGGACATTGTGCTTTCCCGTCCACTCCCCCCGCTGCTGGGCTGCCTGCCCTCCACGCAGGAGACGAGGGATTTCACAACCCAGCCCAGACAGGATTAAAGAGAAATACACAAGTAAACAAATCGCGGCCTCCTAACGCTGGACGTGCCGTTCGGGGAGCGGATCCTGCGGGCCGGTGGGTGAGGCGCGGGCCCCGTGGGTACCGTGGGTACCGGGGTGCGGGAGCGATGCCCGCGGGGGCCGGCACCGCACGGGACAGCGCCGGGTCCCGCCGGGAGAGCCGCTCCAGAGCAGCACTGAGCAATCTCATTTTTCACACGTCTCCTGTAGTCAAACTGCCCCTGTCAGAGGAAAGGAGTTGCTTCCTGTTATTTCCATTGAAATCCTTGTCCCGCTCGTTAGCCGGCAGGCTTTGGCAGGATGGCACCGCGCGCGCACATCAGCTCCGGCCGCCTCTCCCGGGGGCTCCTGCTGCTCTCCGGTAAGTGCGCGGGGCTCCGCACCCCGAACCACCCCGCACGTGGCCGCCCTCCCACTCGCGGGGCCCGGGGCCAGGGTCTGGGCTCAGCCCGCCCCCATCGCCCCACCCCAAACGGGACCAGCCCGTCCAGGCTGAGTTAGCTGGGGCTGGCATGGCCGGGGGGCACGGCAGGTGAGCGCCAGGTGCTGTGGGCAGCTCCCACCGCGCTCTGGCACGGCTGGGACAGGAGCTGTAGCACCGCACATGCCCGGGCAGGGGGGCTGGATGGGGCCATCAGGGGCAGAAACGGGGACAGGGTGGGCTGCCCTTAGCACAGCCAGTGTGCCAGCCCAGCAGTGCCCCATGGACAGTGCCCAGCGGTGCCAGAGCTCCCCACCAGCCCAGCAGCGCCCCATGGACAGTGCCCAGCTGTGCCAGAGCCCCCCACAAGCAGCCCAAGGAGGGCACAGACTGGCAGGTCAGCACAGAACCACCATCAGTGCCCCACAGCCGAGGCTGGAAGATGGATTGGGCAGTTTCCCTGAGCCGTGGGGCTCCCGTGGGCCAGGCCAGACGTGCCCCACGCCCTTGGCAGGCAGTGTTGGGTGTGGAGCTGAGGGCAGGCAGAGGGGCTCTGCAGCAGCTCTGTGCTGGGGCCAGCGCTTCCTCTTCCTGCCCCAGCCCTGTCCGGCTGACACGCAGCACCACGCTGGCTCCCCGTGCCTGGGGGTCCCAGTTTGTCCCCATGCTGTGACCATGGCCCAGGGTTTGTAGCTCCTAAACAGCCCCTCTGAACCTTTGGGTGGCTGCCTGCAGCCTGGTCAGCCCCTGCCCACATAGGGGGCTGGATGCCCTAGCCCCAGCATGTGCCTTCCTGTGCCCCACCTGCTGGCTCCAGTGCCAAGATGAGTTATTTCCCTAATCCAAAATCAGTTATTTCATCTAGACCCAGCCTCTGCCAGGGCAGCTCCTGCATATGGAGTGCTATCAGTGCCCTTATCACCCCCAGACCCTGTGTCCCCTCTAACCCTGTGTCCCTCCCTCTGCAGTGCTCCTCGGGCCTGGCCTTTGTCACATGGAAAACGTGACAACGAGCTCCAGCCAGGACACTGGGACAAACCCACCCACGGCCACATCCAACGGGACAGCCCAGTCCATGGGTGAGTGTTGTGGTTCAGCAAGGGCCGGGCAGCACTGCAGGACAGATGGTGCCCTGGCCAGAGCTGGCCCTGTGCCACAGGTGATCCCTTCTTTCCCCTAACCATCCCAAAAATAAAACCTGTGCCACAAAGTTCTCCCTGCCGCTGCCCACAGCCAGCAGCAGCCTGCCCTCCCTCTGTACTCCTGGCATTGCCCTGGGCTGCTGCAGCTCCATCCCTCACTGTGCTGCTGGCTCTGCCACCAGCCTGGGCACCGCTCCAGGTGTCACCTGGCAGCAGGTGATGCCCTGTGGGCAGAGGCACCCTGCCCTGCTCAGCCCCTTTCCTCACAGAGCGGAATTACACTGCCATCACACAGCACTGCTGGGATTACTTCGTCTTCCTGATGAGGAACGTGCTGCCATCGGAGCTGTGCGAGTGGAAAATCATCAGCAGGTACGGGCCAGCAGGACTGTGAGAGCCTGAATGAGAGATGCAGGACTCCAGGCAGTCTCCAAAATGCAGTTTATTGTATCCAAAATGCAGTTTATTACATCCAAGTGGTTACAGCAGTCCAGGGTCATGGGTGACAGAGCTGTGCCTAAAGCTGTCAGCTCCAGCTGCAGGCAGGCCTGGACACCCTTAGTTTAGGTTACATTGCATTATGTACTTTTCTTTTGGTTACAATGCATTATTTACTTTTGGTTACACTGCATTGTATACTTTTCTTTTGGTTACAATGCATTCTATGCTTTTCTTTGCTGAGCATCTTCACACAGTAGAATGAATCTATACCTTAACTTTTATCTCTAGCCTATCATAACTAATGTAATTACCATACTCATGTTACTGTTCTCCAATCACTCAAAGTCAGTACATTACAGTCTAAGCTGGAAGTTGTTTTCCAGTTTTCTTGCAGTAGAAAATTCTGAGACCTTTTTTCTACTTGCAACATCAGCAGGCTTGTTTGCCTGTGCTATCCTTTCTGCTTGGTAAAAACATCTTGCTCTAAGTCCTAAAAACCCCTTCTAACTAACACACCCTTTGTCTCCTTGGTTATCCAGTAAGATTGGCTCAGCAATTCTTTTCTTCTATATCAAAACTTGCTTTAACTTCTATTCCTTCATCAGACTCTACGTTTAAAAAATCTTTCTGCTAAGCATCTGTGAGACTTTCCTTGTCAAATTTTCATCCTTCCCAACACAGCACCTTCCCCTCTAGAGCAGGGGCAGGGGCTGGGCACTCGGTGGAGTACTGCCGGTGTGTGTCCCCGGTGTCCCATCCCCTGACGGTGTTCCGGTGTCTCTGCTCCAGGCCCTACAGCGAGCTGCAGGACTGCCTGGAGGGGTGGGCAGAGCGCCTCAACTACAGCTACCCCAACGCCCTGGCCGAGCAGTACATCTTCCAGAGCCACCACATCTACTTCCACAACTGCACCCTGGAGCACCCCGTGTACTTCGACCCGCCCGAGGATGTGCTGCTGGCCATGATCATCGCGCCCATCTGCCTCATCCCCTTCCTTGTCACCCTGGTCATCTGGCGCAGCAAGGACGGCAAGGCTCAGGCTTAGAGCTGCCCTCCCGGGCCCCCGGCTCGCCGGGTGGGCTCTCGGTGCCACCACCCCGCGCTGCGGCGGCGGCCGGTTCCTCCCGCGCCTTCCCCTCCTCGCGGCCCGGTATTAAACGCTTCTCCCCCCACGCCTGGCGCTGGTTCTTCGGCCGCTCCATCCCTCCAGCCCGGGTCCGCTCCCGCCGGCAGCTCCTTGCGTGGGGAACGCTCCGGCGGGACACCGGGGCCGAACCGGCACCGAAACCGGGACGGGAGGGGCGGGGTTATACGAGGGCGTGGTCACTCTGTGGGGCGTGGCTTCATGGGGAGGGCGTGATTTGGTGTGAGGGCGTGATCTCATTGGGGGCGTGGTTCGGTGGGGAGGGCGTGGTCTCACATGAGGGCGTGGTCTCATGAGGAGGGAGAGATCTGCTGAGGGCGTGGTCTAGCGGAGTGGGCGTGGCTCCGCGCGGTGGGCGTGGCTCGCTGCCGTGCCGGAAGCGGGGCGGGACGGGGCGGAAAGCGGCGGCGGCGGTTCCGGTAGCAGCGGCGGCGGCGGCGATGAGCTTCGTGTGGCCGTGGCAGTACAGCTTCCCGCCCTTCTTCACGTGAGCACGGCCGGGGTTGGGCTGGGTATGGGGGAGGCGGGGCAGGGCGGGGAACCGGGAACGGGCAGTGCCGGTGCTCACCCGCCCCCGTGCTGACCGGGCCCCGCAGGCTGCAGCCGAACGGCGAGACGCGGCAGAAGCAGCTGGCGGCGTGGTGCGCGCTGGCGCTGGCCTACAGCCAGGAGCACCGGCTGCCCGCCATGACGGTGCGGGAGGCGCAGGACATCCCGCTCTTCGCCAACCACCGGCTCCAGCGTATCCTTTGTGCTCCCGGTGCTCCCGGTACCCCCCAGCCCCCGCTCCCCGCCTCCGCTGACGCCTCCTTAACCCGCAAGCAGGCAAGCTGCCGCTGGAATCCATCCAGGTGGTGCTGGAGGAGCTGCGCAAGAACGGTGCGTGTCCGTCCGTCCGTCCGTCCGTCCGTCCCGTGTGCCCGAACCCCGCAGGCACCGGGCAGCTCCGTCCCGGGGTTTTGGGCTGGGCAAGGAACGGAGTATTGCTCTATAAATTGAATATTGCTCTATAAACGCAGCAATATTCAAAAATATTCAGTATATTCAGTGTGTAGGGCAGGGATGGTCTGCGAGGCTGCCTCCGGGCACAGTGTGTGGCACATGTCCCGAAATCTGTGTGTTTGATCATGTGAAAAACGCCAATCGCTTGTTTTTAAATTTTTTATAGTAATAAAATGGTTATAAAAATAGTAACACAGTTAGAGTAATAATAATTTGGACAGTTTGGATTAGGACAGACAATATGAGACAATAAAAGCAAAGAGTTACAGACAGTTCAGGTACCTTTTTCTGGGTAAAATAAGGACGCAGTTAACAGAGGATTACCCCTTAAAAGCAACAGCCTGTTGCATATTCGTACACCTCATACATGATTCATAAATTCCATTCAAACACGGGATTCTGTCTGGTCAGTGTCAGCTTCTTCCTCTGAATCCTAAGGTGCCTTCAAGGCAGGAAGAAGTTAATTTCTCCTCATAAGACAGCAATAAATTCTCTTTCTCTGAAAGATTCAGGTGTCCTGTGGCTGCTATCTCCCTCCATGTCCTTTCTTTAAAAAAGTATCTTATATAGCATAGTTTCTATTTTAACATTTTTATATAATCTAAAACATTTTAACATTTTTTATAACCTATATTTAGCCCACTACTTAAGAGAATTAATACAGCATCACTTTCTAACACCACACATATAATATTCATTTTAATATTTGCCAAAAGCCAATCATAAAATACACATTTTTCACAATCCTTATTTCTGACTTCTCTGCCTCAATCCCTGTTCCCTGTTGCTTCTAGGGAACCTGGAATGGTTGGATAAGAACAAAACCAGCTTCCTGATCATGTGGAAGAGACCAGAAGAATGGGGAAAGCTCATCTATCAATGGGTGAGAGCACACCCAGACCAGGCTGTGTCCATGAGGATGGGGGGTCTTGGCTGCCCCTTGGGAAGGAGCACTGCTTGTACACTCAGTTTTGCACACCCAGGATGTGTGAGAGGTTTGGACAAGGATGTTCAGCCACGTGGCTGAAATTTGCTGTTTTGCCTTTTGTGTTTCCAGGTGTCCAAGAATGGCCTGACCAACTCTGTGTTCACGCTGTACGAGCTGGTCAGTGGAGATGATACAGAGAATGAAGGTAAAGCTGGGGCTCGTGTTTTGGAGCGTGTAAACAGCTGATTGACAAATTGCAGCTTTGTAGATTAAATATTCTGAAATCTCAGGTGCAAACTCACCTTTTCCCACTATTGGCACATGCTGCTCCAAAGCCTTTTATCACTTTGCAGGAACATCCCCTCTGTAATTGCGTTTTCCTTCCTCATGGCCCAGAATTTTTATCTGGTGTGGTGAGGGGTGTTTTGTTTTCCAGCCAAGGCTCTGCCTTACAGGCTGCTGTGGCTCATCCCTGCTGACCTGTGGGCTCTGTTCCCCAAGCAGAGATGATGAGCCTGTCAGTGTGTCCATCCCTCTGGATTTGGAGCCTGTCAGTGTGTCCATCCCTCTGGATTTGGAGCCTGTCAGTGTGTCCATCCCTCTGGATTTGGAGCCTGTCAGTGTGTCCATCCCTCTGGATTTATGGTGCTCTGAGAGCCCTCAGCACTGCTGCCCCCAGTCCCCTGCACAACCCTGTTTTTTTCCTGATGTTATTTTTGTTAATTTTATAGGTTTTGTTTATATTATTGTTATTTTTTTCATCCTGTTGATGGGGATCTTTGTCCTCTAGAGTTTCATGGCTTGGATGAGGCATTTTCCCTTCCTCACTGCCTAACATTTTTGTTTGGTGTGGTGAGGGGTGTTTTGCTTTCAAGCCAAGGCTTTGCCTTGCAGGTTGCTGTGGCTCATCCATCCAGACTCTGTTCCCCAAGCAGAGATGATGAACCTGTCACTGTGCCCATCCCTCTTGATTTATGGTGCTCTAAAAGCCCTCAGCATTGCTGCCCTAAGTTCCCTCACAAACCTGTTTGTTTCCTGATGTTATTTTTGTTATTTTAAAATATATTATATTATAATGTTATATTATATTTCTAATTTATATTATATAATATTACATAATATATATATTATATATGTATAATACTACACATATAATATATAATAATCTATAATAATCTATTATATATAATATATATTTTGTTATTGTTATTTTGTTTATATTATTATATTATATATATATTTGTTTATATATTATATTATGTTATTTTTCCTTGCTGTTGATGGGGATCTTTGTCCTTCCCTAGAGTTCCATGGCCTGGATGAGGCCACGCTGCTCCGTGCCCTGCAGGCCCTGCAGCAGGAACACAAGGCTGAGATTATCACGCTGGATGATGGCCGAGGAGTCAAGTTCTTCTGAGAGCAGCCTCTCCTCCCCTTCCCTGCTGCAGCCTGGGCTCTCCCTGCCAAGCCTTCCTCTCTGGGCCTGGCCTCAAGCTGTGACTGCAAGTAGCTGCATCTCGGGGATTTCTCGGGGCAAGATGAGGCTGAGAACCCTTCCAAAGACTTAGGAATATCCTGAGCTCCTCTGTCTGTCTGTTCTCCCTGTTGATGTGTTCCAGAGGCTGGAGCTGCTCCAGGCAGCTCTGGGAGGGACCACCCACAAGTGGAACTGGACTTGCTGCTGCTCCCTGTGCCTGTGGTGGCCTCCAAGCAGCTCCAGCTGGGGACAAGCTTGGCCTCCCCTGTGTCCCTGCCAGCCACACGTGCCTGGGTCCTGCAGCCCTGCTGCAGTGCCAGGGGATGGGGCAGGAGCAGGGCACTGGCTGTGGAAGCCCTCAGTGGCAGAAGGAAATGCACTTGCTGCCAAGCAGGCTGGGGGAAGCCAGGGAACTCATTTCAGGTGATTAAAATGAGATGTATTTATAGAGCAGCCTGGCTGTTTTCATCTGTCTTTATTTTCCCATCAGAGTGCTGTACCAGATTTTTGCCCTTCAGTCATATTTCCTGTGTGCCCCAGGGAAATGCAGTGGTTCCAGGGTGGGAAACAGCACAAAGAAAGAGGAGAAGGGGACCCTTCCTGCCTTTCTCAGGACAACATTTACTTTAAATTTGCATGTGCAGCCTGCTGGAAGCCCCTGGGTTTGTGCAGAGGTGAGGGGGTGAGCACTGTGGCTGGGAGAGGGATGACTCAGCTTTAGGTGATAACAAAGTCAGAAATTGTGATAACTTGTCAGAAACTGTGGCCAGGTGCAGTTGCTGGCCGTGTGAGCCCTGGGGATGGCTGTGCTGGGGCAGGGCCACCTTTCCCTGGTCACTGTCAGAGGCTGGGGGCAGTGCTGGAGTGGCCTCAGGTCAGTCTGGGGTGCAGCAGAGCAGGTGGCGCCTGCACCCCACAGGCTGCCCCTGTCTGTCCTTCCCTGCCCTTGGGGACAGCCTGGCCCTGCCTCACCTGCTCCTGCCAGCTGATGTCAGCACTGAGGAATTCTCAGTGCAGGTGGCATGCTGCAGACTGTGAAATGTGAATATTTGTTCTGTGGCAGGAGCCTGTAGAGCTGGACCTGGTGGGGTGTGCTGCCCTGGTGTGGGCACCTTGCTCTGGAGGCTTCCTGTGTGTGCCAGGCTCTGCAGTGCTGTGCAGGAATTGCTGAGCAAAGGCACCAGCAGTGCTCACAGTGGGCTCTGTGGGTTCTTTCTGAGCACCACCACCCCTGGGAGCTCTGTCATGGTCCTGCCACTGGTGGTGCTGAGCAAAGGCAGCAGCACAGGCTGTGCCATGGCATGTGCCATGTCCCCGCAGCTGGCACAGGCTCTGCTTGGTCAGGGATCATCCCTCTGTGTCTGCAGCCAACAAAGTCTCTGTGTAGGATTTTTATGTGACCATGATCACAGGGGTCTGAGGATGAGGGAAGAGATGAGGGTCTGACTCCGTGTTCCAGAAGGCTGATTTATTATTTTATGATATGTATTATATTAAAACTATATTAAAAGAATAGAAGAAAGGATTTCCTCAGAAGGCTGGCTAAGAATAGAAAAAGAAAGAATGATAACAAAGGTTTGTGACTTGGACTCTCTGTCTGAGCCAGCTGAATGTGATTGGCCATTAATTAGAAACAACCACATGAGCCCAATCACAGATGCCCCTGTTGCATTCCACAGCAGCAGATAACCATTGTTTACATTTTGTTTCTGAGGCCTCTCAGCTTCTCAGGAGGAAAAACCCTAAGGGAAGGATTTTCCATAAAAGATGTCTGTGACATTTTTATGCTCCCAGTCTGGCTTTGTTTCCATGTCCAAGATCTGCCTCCCCTTTCCTCCCCATGCCACCAGCATTGCTCCTTCCCTCTGTGGTGGCTCTGGCTGCCCTGCAGAGAGCAGGGTGCTGTGCCTGCAGGTGGCTGCATTTCATCCCCAACAGTTGGATCCCTTCAGCAGCCAGGCTGGAGGGTCTGTTCTCACTGCCTGTGTGCACAATCCCGACCTCCCAGCACTGTGTTCCAGCCTGGGAGTGCTCTGTGTAACCTGCCTGTCCTTGAGGGAGTCTGTGTTCTTAATTAAATTTGCTCCCTTCTTAGGAAATGGCTGATGTGACATTAGATAAGCCCAAAACCAGCTTTTCATTCCAAGCCACTCCTGGCAGCAATTCCCTTCTCTTTTTCAGATTCCTATTTAGCTGCTTACTCAGTGAGGGTGGGGGAAAGAGGAGGAAGAGTACGTCCCCTCTGCAGAGTGGACACGGTGTAAAATTCCTTTTCCACACCCTCTGGGCTGGTTACCAGAGGCCACATCCAGTGAGGAGCCTGTGGGACCAAATTCCCTGGGCTGGGATGGCACTGCTGAGGCCGAGGTGCCACTGCTGAGGTCAAGGTATCACTGCTGAGGCTGGGATGGCACTGCTGAGTCCATGGTGTCACTCCTGAGGCTGAGATGGCACTGCTGAGGTGTCACTGGCACTGCTGAGGCCATGGTGCCACTGCTGAGGTTGAGGTGCCACTGCTGAGTCCATAGTGTCACTTTTGAGATGTCCCTGCTGAGTCCATGGTGCCACTGCTGAGGTGTCACTGTCACTGCTGAGGCCGAGGTGCCACTGCTGAGTCCATGGGATGAGTCCTGGGAGTGGCAGAGCTGCTGCCCTGCAGGGAGCAGACGTCCCTCTGAGGAGGTGCTGCCCAGCCCAGCCACACAGCCCTGCTGCAGGAGGAGGCTCAGGGTGATTTTGGGGGGCTCAGGGTGCCTGGTACAACCCCCTCCTCCAGCCCCTCAGAGGCCCTGGCCACGTCTGGCTGTGGTGATTAGGGCTCTGTGGGCAGGGTGAGGCAGAGCTCAGAGGGGCTGGTGCCAAGATAAGGCTCTATCAGCCTGGGCACACTTGGATCCTGCTGGTGAAGGAGGAAAGATTCTGAGAAAGATTTTTTTTTAATGCAGCTGCTTAGGAGCAGGAACAGTTTCAGTTTGATAACTTTAAATGTCAGGATAAACGTGCAGGTGGGTCCCATCTGTGCCTCTGGGCTGAGGAAATCCTCTGCAGTGATCTGCACAGTGAGCTGAGGTTTGGCTGGTTCTCCACCTCCCTGAACTCACATGAGGGACACAGAAGGTTCCAAGGGTGTGGGGTGGTGAAACCAACAGTGGAACAAGCCCTGGGTGTGCCTGGAGCCCTCCTGGGACAGGCACCCTGTGCTGGGCATTCCCAGCTGTGCATCCCCAGCTGTGCATCCCCTTCATCCAGACCCATCCTGGCCCCTCTGTGCTCCTGCCCCAAGCTCTGGCATCACACAGACAATTCCTGGCAGGTCTTGGTGGAGCCTGGAGCTGAGCAGGGCTTTGATTCATGATTAATTCTGAGGAGAGTGATTACTCAGTCCCCTGTTCTCCTTCTGGCAGCCAAATGCAGGCGAGAAATGGGGTTATGTTCCCTGATTGTGGCGGTGCCTCAAAGTGAAGCCTGGCACTGGCACCTGCAGCCCAGAAATGTCACCCTGATAAGGCTGGGGAGCTGCAGTGGGCTCCTGATTGTGGAACACGAGCCCTGTGCTTTCAGGCCAAGCTGGCTGCAGATTGGTGTTCCTGGCCAGGCCAGGAGAGGACCTGTTTCCCTGCCTGAGCTGTGCTGTGGCATTTGGAGGGATCATTTAGGGAATTTCTCAGATCACCCACAAAGGGAGGTGTGGGAAGGCAGCACTTGGAGCAAACCTCACCCCTAATTTCCTCTCCTGTCTGCAGGGGCCTCACTGGACTGGAACACTCCCCTGCTCCTCTGGGATCTTCCAAGGCATCTTGTTTCACGATGGAAACCCTTGATAAGGAGACAGGAGCCTGCCAGGGACCAGGCTGAGATCCCTGCCTGGCTCTGTGTCTCCTGTTGGAGGGCTGGGGCTCCCTGCCAGCCTGGGCAGTGCATGGCACCCCTGGCAGGGCATGGACCCCCTTTCTGGCCATGCTGAGGAGGTTCTGGGCAAGGCTCACCTGAACAGAGAGCGTTGTTTAACAGGGCTGAGTCAAACCTACAGCTCAAGAGTGACCCATGGCAGGGACAGTACAAGCACTGTGCCTGTGGCCTTTGGGCTCAGTGGCACCTGGTGCCCCAGCAGCTGGCAGAGGTGCTGGACGTGGTGTCCAGCCAGTGCTGCTTGTTCAGCTGGGACCAAGCCCCTCACACGCTCCAAGGGGTGCAGGGCTGAGTGGGGATGTGGTTGCTGCTCCCTGCTCACCGAGCAGAGCAGCTCTGGACAGGAGGGAAGGAGGTACCCGGCTCATAGGGCAGGTCGGATGGGGGTAGCAGAGCAGAGATCGGTCAGGAACACTTCATTAAATGCTTGTCCCTCCCTCTTGCCAGCGGGGATTTGCAGGGGGCAGCCGTGCGGGACGTGGGGCAGGTCAGCAGCCGCGGTCACCCCGCGGGTGCCAGCCTGGCGTTCGGGAGCCCGTGACCGCCTTCCCCTGCCCATCCACTCCTTAATGTTTCCGGTATCGTTGAGTAGAAACAATCTGACCTCAGGGAAAAGAAATCAGCGCTGGCCTCAATTGCTTTGTGTTTTGTGTAAACAGCCTCACCGGCAGAACAACCTTCTCCTTCAGCCTGGACAGACAACACGCTCTTGTCCGGCCGCTGGCTCCCGCGGGGCTGACACACACCTTCGGCTCTTCCTATTTGCCTGACCCTAATTTCAGGATTTCGGACCGTAGTGACCCCGAGCGGGGCAGCGTGAGGGGGAACTCGCGTCCCGGCAGCGGGACCAGAGGCAGAAACTCCGAGGAAATGTTTAAAGCAAATGTTCCTGCTCCGGCTGCGTCTGTCACAGCAGCCCCGGAGCCCCTCGGGGGCGGCGGCAGGGAACGGGCTGTCCTGCGGGGAGGGGACAGCGAGGAGCCCCGGGAGCCGGGTGGGCACCGGGCGGTGTCCCCCGGCTGGGACGGGACATCCCGGCAGCCCGGGGAGACCGGGAGCGGTGCGGGGCGCTGCTCGCGGGGTCGGTTTGGTGCCCCTGCCCGGTTTGGTGCCCCTGCCCAGTGCGGTGCC